CCCCACCACGCACGGCCAGCTCGGGTGTCCCCGGCCCTCTCTTCGCAGGCCAGGGGGCTCTCACCGCCTGGCGCCTCAGTCCTGTGGGCGCCCAGAGAAAGGCGGGGACAGGGCCCCCGCCTGGGAATATAAAGGCCTGTTTCCCATGGTGCCCTGGGCTCATCTGCATATCTCCCATGAGCCTCAGTGCGCCGAGAAGCAGAACTGCTGAGTCACCCTCACCCCCCCCAGGAGAGCCCGGGCAGCCGCTCCGGGGGTGGGAGCGAGGCTGTCCCTCTCCCCGCCCCCCCGTGTCCCCGGTGTCCCCAGCGTCCTCGCGCCCCCGTGCTTGCGCCTCTCAGGGTGAGGAAGCCGTTCTCGGCCTTCCAAGCTGCAGGTTTCCGAAACTGGCGCGGGAGCGTCCCCGCCGGGGGCATGTCCGCCCGTGACTGGGCCCGGGGTGACCTACCTGGTCACGACGAGTCCTGCCCTTCCGTGGCTTCAAGTCGATTCCCTCCGCGTTGTGTCCTGGGTAAGGCTCTTCATGGGTCGCAGATGGGCACGTGCCAGTCATTCACGATTTAAACACGTTTCCTCTCTTTGGCTCTTTCACGTTTAAAATAAAAACTTGAAACGAACATTTTTGGAAAATTGAGCAGTTTGAGTTCACAGCAAAACTGAGCAGAAGGCACCCCTGCCCCACACGCGAACCATACCCCCACTCAACCCCCGCCCGACGGTGCACGGGTGACCACCGATGGACCCGCGTTGACACGTCAGTGTCCCCCCACGCCCACGCTTCCATACGGTCACTCCTGGGTTGTGTATGCTGTGGTTTGCTGCAGAAGTACAAATGCCGTGTACCCACCATTATGATATCCTTCAGGGTAGTTTCTCCGCCCTAAAACCCTCTGTGCTCCGCCTGCTCCCCAGTCTCTCCTCTTAGCCCTGGTGACCGCCCGTGTTTTTACTGCCTCCGTAGTTCCGCCTTTTCCAGAATGTCGCATAGCTGGAATCATATACTGTGTAGCTTAATCAGATTGTCTTCTTTCACTTAGTAATGCATGGTTAAGTTCCTCCATGTCTTTTCATGCCTTGATAATTTGTTTCTTTTTAGTGTCGGATCATATTTAATTGTCTGGATGTATGACCATTTATCCCTGTACATACTGGAGGAAATCTTGGCTGCTTCCAAGTTTTGGAATTGATGAATAGAGCTGCAGGTTTTTGTGTGGACATAAGTTTTTAACTAATTTGGGCAAGTATCAGGGGGCATAACTGATGAATCATTTTGTAAGAATATGTTTAGTTTTGTAAGAAACTTACAAGCTGCCTTCCAAAGTGGCTGGACCTTTTTGCACTCCCAGCAGCAATGGAAAAGAGTCCCTGAGGCTCCACAATCCTGACCAGCATTCGGTGGTGGTGAGGCTGGGGCGGATTTTGGTCATTGTGGTAGATCTGTGTGGGATGACTGTGGGATCACAGACCACTGTCGTTTTAATTTGCATTTCCCTGATGACGTGATGTGGAGCATCTTTTCATATGCTCATTTGTCATCTATATGCCTTCTTTGATTAAGTCTTTGGTTCAGGTCTTTTGCCCATCTTTAAACGAGGTGGTTTGTTTTCTTATTGCTAAGTTTCAAGAGTTCTTTGCATATTTTGGATAACAGCCCTTTTTCAGATGTGCTTTTGCAAATATATTCTTCCAGTCTATGGCTTGTCTTCTCATTCTCTTGACATTGTCTTTCTCAGAGCAGAAGTTTTTATTTTTAATTAAGTCCAGCTTATCAATTATATCTTTGATAAATCGAGTCTTTGGTGTTATATGTAAAAAAATTATCACAATTTCCAAGGTCATCTAGATTTTCTGCTGGTATCTACTAGGAGTTTTAAGCTTTTGCATTTTACATTTAAGTCTATGATTCTTTTTGCATTAATTTTTGTGAAGGATCTATGAATAGATTTACATTTTTGCATGTGGATGTCCACTAATTCCAGTACCATTTGTTGAAAAGCCTGTCTTTTCTCTCTTGTGTTGCCTGTTTTCCTTTGTCAAAGATTAGCGGACTATAATTATGTGGGTAACAGATACTTTTTGAACAAAGACTTGTTTAGAATATTTCGGATGTTATCAAATAAGTTAATCTTTTCTTTCAAAAGATTTTTGTCATCTTTCAAAGTACATGTTAGTACTCCGAGGCCACGGTCTTAGTTTCCTGCAAATTCTCCTTTTTCTTTAATAATTTTGTTTGATTGCTTTTTCTGTTAGTCAGCCATAAGAAAACACCAGAATAAGTGACTGAAAAACTTCCAAGTTCTGGAGACTGGAAGTCTGAGATCAGGGTGCCCACATGGTCAGGGCTGGGGGTGCCCTTCCTGGCTGTGCAGATGGCCGCCTTCTCTCTATGTGCTCACATGGCAGAGAGGGAGATGTCTCTCCCTTCCTCTTCTTATGAGGCCACAGTCTTATCTGATTATGGCCCCACCCTCATGACCTCATTTAACCTTAATGACGTCCTAAAGCCTCCATTCTGGGTACAGTCACCCTGGGGTCAGGGCTTCCACACACAAATTCAGTTCCTCCCACTTCTCTTTACATTTTTATGCTAAATGCAATGTAAATGGAAGTTGCTTTTACTATTAATATAAGAATGTAGCTAGATGGCTTTTGCAATGACTTACCAAATTAATCAGGTAATCCAATTCTTTCTAAACTTCTGACAGATGCCTCCTACTGCACCAGCAAGTCCCCCTAGACGTCGGGCAAACATCCACAGACTGGCAGCTGGGCCTGGGCTGGGTGGTGCCTACAGGAAGGGGACAAGCGGCCTCTAGGATTAGATGACAGCAAAGTCCTCAGGGGAGTGGTTCCCAAATTTCCTGCACATTACACTTTTCTTGGGAGCTTTGAAGAGTCCCAGTGCAATATCACAGCACAGCCAAGGTGACCCCAGGCAGGCATCACCTCCCCACGGCTGCTTCCATCAACAGAATTGGTAAGGGACGTGGCTGTCATTGCCTTCATGAGGCCACATTATGGGGCAAAGCAGCGTCCCTTTGCACTGACAATGACACTGCCATACATTTGTGTGACTCTCCTAGCCAGCACTTGCTCTCACCTGCTGGCTTTGAGAAGGAGACAGACTGGGGCAGGGAACCGCGGGCACGCCCAGTAAAGCCATGGTGGTCAGTCCTTCAACCACAGGAATGAGTTCTGCCAGTGAGAGCGCAGCCTGGCCCGCACCTTGGTGGCATCTGTGGGGGACCCTGGGCAGGGCCAGCCGGGGTGAGGCCTAACTCCTAATCCATAGAAAGTGTGAAAGCAAACTGAAAAACAAATGTGTGTGGTAAGCCAGGAAGGTTGGTGATTTGTTATGCAGCAACAATTAGAAAACTAACATTCACTCCATTCCAGTTATATCACAATTCTCATGTGACCCAGGCATCCATCTTTTAAATGTTTTCAGATACTTCCAAAATGCTACACCACTCGAGAACTGGGGCCTAGACCACTGGGTGGGGCTGGATGTTCTCACAGATGTGAGGCCCTTTGATCCCTCCTTCCTGCCCTGATAAACCTGGTCTTTAACTGATGTCCAACTGAGTGTCCACAGGGCCCTGCAGTAGCCATCGTCCCTGCAGCCACCCAGTCCCCCCACCCTGGACTCAGACCCCTACTGTGACCTGCCACAAAAAGTGAGTAATTGGTCCCACCACATGCTTGTAACCCATTTGGCCCTCATGGGGCCAAAGTCATGACCTGGAGGCCAGCAGGACCCAAGCCTGGCAATCAGACCTGCCCACGTTCCAAAGCCCCATCCCCACCAGCTTGGGACCGCAAGCCTTGCAGTGGAGAAGGGTGAAGGGGTAGGAGCTGATCAGCCTGGGCAAGGCATGAGTGTACTGCCCTGGCCAAGCCTAAGGGCCCCCGCTGCCCTGAGGCCAGGAACCATCGAGAGCTGACACCCTCGAGAGGAGAGAGGCCAGCGCCCAGGGTGTTGGAGGTGTAGCTGTTTTGTCTCGCCCACAGGCTTTATGCAGCTCCTGAGGCTCGGAGAACATTCCAGAGATGTTTGTGGTGTGGACACATTCCTGCTTCTTGGCTGGCTTGTGGCTCTGTCCTTCGGATAACTGTTGAGGCGCCACTGACCTGTGCATTCCTGGGCACAGGGCTGGCCTGGCCTGGTCCTTCCCGGGCACAGCCCCTGCCAGTGTGTCTGGGATCTGACTGAAGCACGGCGGGCCACGCCCAACCCGAGAAGCCTTCAGGGCCACGTGGGCTCGGGCTTGTGGACAGGGGACCCAGTTGCAGTCAAGCCCCAATAAGAAAGAAGAGTGTGTTTAGGTAATCAAGTGATTCACCAAATAGGATTTTCTTGAAAACTTACAATAATCAAGACTAGGAAAGGACACTGCATATTGCAATGAAGGCTGAGTACCATTGACCCCTAAACATCACAGGTTAGAACTGCACAGGACCACTAACATGGATTTTTTCAATAAATATATTGGAAAACATTTTGGAGATTTGCAATAATTTGAAAAAAACACATAAACCACAGTGCCTCAAAATATCACAAAAAATAGGAAAAAAGAATGTCATGAATGCCACAGAAAGTGAGTCTTTCTGTGTGTCTTTCTAAAGTGAAATTGACCTGCTACAGGAACAGGAAACCAAATGATGGTCACAAAATATATGCAGATATTAGTCTGTTTTATCGTTTGTGACCATAAAATCAACTGTAGGCTAATAGTTAAGTTTGGGGGGAGTCAGTTATATATAGCTTTTTGACAGTGTGGGGTCAGTGCCCCTAACCTTCACAGCACTCAGGGGCCAGCTGTGCTTGGACCCCAAACAATCACATCGCCACTCTTACCTTACAAAGCAGAGGTCAGCCAGGAAGCTTCCTCAGGGCTGCGTCGCGTTTTTGCTAGGATTCCCGGTCACAGGCAGGAAAGGAGGTGGGCAGCGTTATAACTTCCCTGTGTGACCCACTGCAGAGACTCTCCAGAGAGTCGTGGCTTATGGATGTAAGGGGAAGACCTCTGCCTCCAGGGAACAGGCACACGGTGGGGGCAAGGAGGCATGGCCACCCGTGGGGCCGTGGGGAGCTGATGTGCTCTGAAAAGCTGCCTATCCACTGACTTTGTTTTTCTTCACTGACTTGCTCCACAAAATTAGTTATTTTCCAGAAAGATCAGAAAGGCATGAGGACAAGGACAACCAGCAATTCTCTGATAACCGATGCTGATGAGAATCCAAGGGGCCATCAACACGAGTAAAGTGATGACAGAGCCTCCGCGTCGGTCTCTCCACCCCCGTGGAGGTCACACACAAGGGTCCCAACACCACGTCCTCGTTCCTGCAAAGGCACGTGCCTCTGAGGGACACGGAGCTCTGAACACCACACCAAGTCTGAAGTACAGCAAGCGTCTTGGAGTCCACTTCCGTATTATGCGCGTGTGTCTTCCTTTATCTTCTTCTTCCCATTTGGAGGCCATGGACCTGAACCATTCAGCTGCCTCTGTCCTCCTCTGGCCAGCCTCACACCCAGCTCCTCTGCTCCACCTTCATGGCCCCGTCAGCCTTTCTGCCTCTGGTCACTGGCGATTGGAGGTACGACCTCCAAGCACACCCTCCCGAGGCCTGTTGCCCTTCCCAGCCTCTCTCCCGAGCTCCAGGAGTTTTGGTGGAGAGTTTGTTTGGGCACTGTGGTCTCTGCACATTAGCTTCAGTGGGAAGAGCAGCCCCAGCAGAGGAGCGCCCTCCGGGGTCTGGGTGAGCTGGGCTGCCATCTCCGTGGGCAGGTCCAGAGCCTGGTCGAGGCCCAGCGTCTCCCCTGGATCCAGAGCTTGACTTCTCCAGGCCCCAGGGGTGTGCAGACAACGGTCCCAAACAGGACAGGAGCAGAGGGTGCTGGGGACCACACAAAGGGCCCGGTGCTCCGTAGTGCACGTACATCTGCAGGTAGCCTAACACACATAAGGGCAGGTTTCCAGGCAGCTGGGGCCCAAGTTAGGAGTGGGGTGTGGGACCCCAAGAAGCAGATCCCCACCACCCTGGGGCAGCTTTCTTCACCAACAATGTCAGGGGCAGAAGCTGCCCTTTGGAGTCACAGCCTCGTTTGCCAGCCTCACCTCCCCACTCCTGCTGGTGGCAGGAGGCCCAGTAGTCGCTGCCAGGAAGAGTGGGGAGCTGTCTGGGGCTGTCACCTCTGCCACAGCCCAGTGTCCCCTGGGAATGTCAGGGAGGTCCTCCTGCACAGTGGCCCTGTAGGGACTCCCCACCCCACTGGGTCCACAGCCCTCAGCTTCCTGTGCAGCTTTCTCCAGAGACACCTGGAGGCCTGGGTGCCTTTGTGTGGGGGCTGCAGGCTCCTTGCTGGAAGATTCCTGAGTGGGAGGCAGCGCCCCCCATCCAGCTCCGGCACTCCCCGACTCCCTGCTGGCTCCCCCCATCACGCGGGGTGGGAGAGGGAAGGGCGTGCACACAGCCCTGGCTTCCAGGCCCACGTCCCCCCTGTCGCAGCCTGCGGGAACTCTGGCTGGGGTGGGGTTCCCCGGGGCTCCCTCAGGTCATACAGGTCACAAGGGCTCCCCGCCACCAGGCCTCCAGAGCCAACTGAAGGTTCATTTTTCTGGGTTGCATGGATTTGAGGGTCCCGATTCTATGTGCCTGAGCCGTACTGATCAGGGTGATGCCCCCTCCTCTGGCCCCGTGAGAAAGGGGAGGCAGGCTCCGTGGACCCCGCGGGGTCTGCTAGCCACAGACACCTTTGCTTAAATATACCCTACATAGAAGGTGTGAACCTGGGACCCTTCCGATCGACTTCCCCCCTTCCCCATCACCCCCAAAAACAGCATCTCCACAAGAACACACATTAAATGAAGCTAAGGGGAAAACGCCAACGACTAAACATTCTGGGCAGATCGGAGTGATGTTGCACCACCCTGGTCCTCAGCCGCTGGGCGACCGCCCTCGGGAGGCAGGCCCATCACCTGTCACGTGATGAGAAACCACGCTCCATGAGAAACACATTTTTCCACCTAAAAGCAGCTTTATGTATGTATTTCAGTGTAACCTGTTCATGTTGAAGTAAGAGCAGAACCACGCACAGTGGAAGGGGCATGGGTGTGAAAGACCCTTGGGTGTAAGGATCTCACGTGTCCCTGCATGTTGTTTAAAGATGTGCAACCGGAGAAAACCAGGCACAGAAGCACAGGCCTGAATCCAATCCACGTGTCTTTGGGAAGTGACATGGAGGTCATGGAAACCGGGGGTTTCCAGGCGCACGTGACCTGGGGATCCCGGACACACTGCAGAGCAGCCCAGCGGGGGGAGCACCCATTTCCTCGGGTGCTCAGGCTCACTGTTTGCCAGTGGCTCTCCCTGGTGGTCATTTCAGGCTGCACGGACTCTGGTGCTCCCTGCCCCAGTCATGTCCCTGCGGAGGAGCCCCAGCTACTCACCAGTCCCCAGCCCAGAGACCCACCGAGCACGTGCACTTGTAAGTGCCTGTGGTGTGTGTGGTGTGGGCCTGAGCACGCACTTGGGAGTGTGGATGTGCGGTGCCTCAGTGTGTGAAGGGGCCCCTGGGAGCAGGTGCCCTGGTTTCTGGGGCCCATCCCAGGAAGGCCATGCGTAGTGAACTGGAACCACCAGGAAGAGGCAATTAATGACCTCGGGACCTTGAGTGTGGAGGGCCTGGCCCCAAAGGCAGGGGTCACAGGTCAGAGGACTGAGACCAGAGCTGGCAAAGGCCACCTTTGTGGATGGGACGACATGGGACATTCACATTTTCTGCTCATCTGTGCTTCCATGACCTCTAAAGTGAAATTGACCTGCTACAGGAACAGGAAACCAAATGATGGTCATGTCCTCATGTTGCAGCCCTATGTCCTCTGCCCAGCCGGGTGAGCCACTGGGGAGTACCCAGAATGGCCAAGGGGGTGGCCTGTCCACCCTCCCCGTGCAGATGGAAAGCTGAGACTGGCGTGGGCCCCCGTGCTGGGCTCCACCCTGGGGGCTGAGGCTGCCCAGCCAGGACTGACGTGAGGCCCCAGCCACTGCGCTGTCATGGGGGGCTTCTAGCCCACCCACCTTCACTTATTTTACTACTTTCTGTGATAGCTAAGAGTTCCCCCAATAAACAGGCCATGGCTGCGGCACTGACCCCACAACGCTCCCAGTGAGGCTGCCTGGAGATTCTGAGTCAGACCCCGGGGCTGATCTTTGTAACAAAGCTCCAGGCACGGTCCCTTTGTCTGGAGCTTGCCCTGTGCCAAGCCCAGATTACATGCGTGTCCACATACAGACACATTCAACCTGAGACAGGGAGAGGTCAGCGCTGAGAGTCCTGGCCGCTCCCCAGGAGTCTCCGGCCTCAGGACAGTTGAGTGCACATCAAGCCCCTGGTCTGGGCTCCTGCCTGGGGGGTTCCCCTGAGGCCCAGAGAAGCCCGTGGTGCCGTGCTGGAGTCCAGGGTCCTGCATCGCAGGCTGAAGACCACCCTCACCTGCAGAGCCTCCCGGGCACCTGTTCAGGGCCTGACAGTGCCTGGCCCGTGCCCTGCACATCTTGTCCTGAAAATCGCACTCTCTGTCCTGGACACCTGTACAGAGGCCCTAGAAGAGGGCAGTGCCCAGGTGCCCTCAGCACTGCACACAACGCATATGTCACGATGAAGGGTTTGACTCCAGGGCCATTCTGGTGTGGCTTCAAACACCAACCCCTTAATGTCCAAGCTTTTTGAAAATGCCAAGTAATGTGGGAAAGTGACCCACTGTGCCTACAGCCAGGTCAGGAGGAGGTGACATGCCATGTGACAGGCACCCCACACGTGGCCCTTGGTTAAAGCCACAAGCCCTGCTCCTCTTTGAAGAGCAGGACCCTCGGTGTTTGAGTCAAGGACATTAGGGCTAAAAGGCCCTGGCATCCTCAGTTCCAGACATGCTGGAAGTCCACATCCACGTTAATGCCACTCTCTCAGCAACAGACATAATTAACACATTTAAAAGTGCTGGGTATCAGTGCTGGGCACACAGGACCGACGGGTCTTAGAAGACCTTCGCCAGACTCCAGCAGTTTATAATGAGGAAAACCTCTAAGAAAGTTGCTGCTGGCTGAAATCAACAGGCTGCTGCATTAGAATAGAGTCTATTCAGTCTTACTGAAGACCACGACCCAGATGACAAGAGAGCTCAGCTGAGGACACAGGGAGTTTGGCTCAGGACCACGGCCCGGATGACAGCCAGGGAGCTCTGGTCTGGTCCAAAGCCATTGTCTGAGAACAGCTTTATATACTTTCTTACAGCAGGGATGCATCAGGAAAGAGGTGACATTAATCAGGACATCGAAGCAGGGTGTCAAGGGTGCGTCTGGTCCATGTCTTAGAAGGTCAGACTGTGCCCGGCTGGTGCTATCTGTGTGAGGGCAGGCAAGAGGTAGGGTGGTCGTTCATCCCCAGGGACTTCTACCAAGGATGTGAGAACAGTCTTTTCTCTAGTTTGTCTCCAGTTTGTCCGACACTCCAGGCCATTCCTCTGCCCGCTGTGGGTCGGGGGTCTGCGGCAATCTTGCTGATGGGCATATGACATCTTCTCCTCACAGCATGAGCTGTTCTGCTGACTTGGGGTCTCTACAGCACAGGCCGCCTAGTTTGTGGGACCACTGTTGGGGACAAAAATTTCATTTGATTTTACACTGCCTCTAACGGGTGCCTGTGTTCCACAATTCTAAGCTGCATGCAAATCAATACGGAAACTGTCCCGTGGGGGGCAGTGCGAGGCAAGGGCATCACTCACTGATCAGAGTCAGTGACTTTGCGTCCTGCACTCCGAGCCCTGGGCCTTGTGTCCAGGCAGGGTCAGGGCAGGAGCTGGAACTGGGCAGGCAGCTCTGGGTTCATCGCTTCACACTCCACTTGTGTTTAAGTCCGCACTTCTCTGCTTTGAGCACAGCCTCTCCCAGGCTTCTGCTTCGCCTCCAGCTGCCCCAGGGCGAGGATGGGCATGGTCCCCACCACACCATGGCAGGCCAACCTCCCCGGTGCCACCCAGTCATCTCCCTGGTGGGCTTGAAGGTGGATCAGGAGCCCAGGGACACTGGACAGGTACAGGGCTGTGGCCCCGGCCTGAGCTGGCGGTGTGCACAGAGCACCCAACAGAGGCGGGCTTGTGCCCCTGCCCTCCCCCCACTCAGACCCAGGCACAAGGAAGGCCAGCACCTCCCATCCCCCCAAAAGGAACCCCCATCCCCACCAGCAGACACTCCCTCAGCCCTGGCACCCATGTGCCCACTTGTGTCTCTGTGGACGTGTCCCATGAGTAGTCTTGCACAAGGTGTGCCTTTGGGACCAGTGTCTTTCGCGGAGCCCATGTTCTCCGGGTCTGTCTGTGCTGTGGCATGTCAGGGCTTCACTCTTGTTTAAGGCTAAGCACTGTCCCATTGTGCAGAGGCCACGTTGTCTTTATCCATTTGTCGGCTGATGAACGTTTAGGTTTCCCACCTCCTGGAGGAACAGTGGAGAGGCTGCTGTAAACACCTGTGTGCGGGTGCTGCACGGGTGCCAGCGAGTGGTCCCCTGGGCCTGTTGCTGGGAGTGGGCTGCTGGATCATGTGGTGACCCCACATTGGCTATTTTGAGGGAATGCTCGACTTTTCCACAGTAGCTGCCCTGGGGTTCCACCTCCTGACATTTCTTTAGGTGTCTGACGCCCCAGTGTGGGGCTGGAGGCGGCCACACAGGAAGGAGGATGCGGAGAAGCCAGTCCCTCAGCGCGGGACACAGGGAGCCAGGGAGGCCCCAGGCGCCAGTGGAAAGGCCAAAGCCAAGCAGCTGCTTGTCGGTTTGGAAGAACGGAGGGGCAGTGTGGGGCAGGCCACGGTGGAGCCACAGGCAACACCTGGCACAGGTGGCAGAAGGCCCACCCACACTGGCTTAAGCACACACATGCTTAAGAAGTGGGCTGCTATTGTCCACCCCACTCTCCCAGTGAGCTGTAGCGTGGCATCCTGTCAGTGGCACTGTGGGAGGCACCACCACATTTGAGTCGGGGACACCTGACATTCATTACCAGTTTTTCTGCTCCACTGATTCTGAGCCCCTGTATGTTAGGCAGGGGAGAAACCTGATGCTTTTGCAAGAGGCTGCAGAGTCCCGCATCTCTGCTTGGGCCCTGCCCTTTCACAACCACCCCAATGAAGGATTGTACCCGAGCACCCCCTTTTCTGCCAAAGCCCCTCCATACCTGTGTGGTTGGAGCCTCTGCCACCGGGTTTCTCAGCGACCCACAGGCAGAACCCCCACACCACCCTCCTGCATGTGCAGCGTGGCCAGCCCTACAGAAGCCGCAAAAAGGATGTCACAGCGTAATGCCCCGGCAGCGAAAGTCCAGGAAAACGCCAGGACGTGAGACGTGCGCTTCACACTGTTTTGTGTCTTAAAGAATGAATGAAAATGCTGTGTCTAGATACTGAGATTTTGAGTATTTTGTGTTCATTCACTATTCTTTGAATTTGCCAAATTTCTGCAATAACCATGTACCTTTGGAATTTTTAAAAATTGGACTTTTTTGTCCTTGGGTGTCTTGGTCTGTTCGGGATGTTTTTCCAAGCGCCGCAGACTGCATGGCCAATAAATGACAGAAGTGGGTTTCTCATGGTCCTGGAGGCAGGAAGCCCGAGACCCAAGGCGGCTGGGCGCCCTCTGCTGAGGCAGCTCCTGGCTCGTGGCCGCACCTCTCACTGTCCGCGTGCTGTGGGAGGCGCGGAAGCACTCCGGGCACATGCGCACCAAGGCCATCACCAGGACTGCATGCTTGTGGCTGTCACCTCCCAGAGGCCCCCCTGCTGGCACCACCACCGCGGGGGCTAGGAGTCAGCATGTCCCGCGGTGTGCCAGCAGAAAGCCCTCCCGTGTCTGGGCCTCAGCACCAATGCTCCCCCGTCCCCCAGGCGCCCAGCAGGAACCCCGAGAGCAGCCGGCCCAGAGCCCGGAGGGCGGTGGTGACCCTCTGGGCTGAGGTGTGCTTAGTGTCTGCCAGTTTTATTAACTACTCAACTCCAACTCAGGGTTTCTGACTATAAGGAAGAAAATTCACATTTATTTCACTTTACTATGGCTCTAAATTGACCAATAATGGTATCTTTTTTTGAAAAATAAAAGCATTGGTTTGCTAACTGACAGTGAACAGATACCTTTAGAAATATGCACCAAATACGAGGGTGGTGGGTTTGGGAGGAGAGGGGGATGAAGGAGATACAGGTGATAGCCCTCGGAGGGGCCCCATGGGACGCTGTGCAGGACCCTTGTCCTTGAACGGCCCCTCTCCTCCCAGCTGGCAGGTCCCTGCTGTGTGGTCCTTACCATCGTCCATCCCCTCCCTCCATTGGGCCCCAGAAACGAAACAGGCACCCAAATCCCACTTCCCACAGTGGGACAGGAGAAAGCGAGGCCCTTGAAGGAAACATGGAACCAGGAGGTCAGGGGCCGTCAGATCTGACGAATGAGAAGCTGTGGTCACGTCCTTTGGGCATCTCATGCTGTGCCATGCAGGGCTGCGTGTCCTGGGGGTGACAGGCAAGAGCTCCGGCCTCCCACCCATCCTGGAAGCCAGGTACGCCTCTCTCCACCTCCAGCCTCCAGCCAAGGTGAGAAGCAGGAGGAAGGGGAAGGCGTGTGGGGATTTGGGGTGGGGAGGCGGCTCGCCCCGCGTGGTGCAGGAGCAGACGCGCTGGAGGGTCCGTGGCATCCCAGCTTCCCATCCTGCCGGGCCAACAGCCACAGCAGGACCAGGTGCCCCAGGTGTGCACAGGTGGGAGCGGGGGTCGTTCACACCAGGTGCTGCCCCCAAACCAAGAGCTGCCTGTATTTATGACACAGCGCTTCCAGGCCCCCCAGGCAGCGGCTCATGTTAAAAACAGAAGTTCTCCTGCCAGTTTTTAAACCTGAACCTGTCGCAGAGCCTTATATGACTTGACGCCATTAGGGCGTGACTGCCCCGGGCTGCGGCGCCGGACTGGGTGTGCGGGTCACGCTGGAAGTGCACGTGCGCGCATGCGCGGGGCGCCCACGTGCTGCGCGCTTTGTTCTGCCGCGGGGGGTGGGGCTTCTTCCTCCTGCAGGGCTTCGTGGCGCCATCGCTCAGGCTGACCCTCCTGCGACCGAGTGGCGCATCGAGGCCAGCCTGTCCCAGTGCCCGGGGCGGCGGGGTGGGCGTCCTCAGACTGGGTCCGGTGGTCCAGAAGCTGCGGCGCCTTCCCAGTGAGTCCCTGCAATCACCTGCCTCGCGCATACCCCCGCCCTGCGGGGCGCCCTCCCGGCGCACACCCCCATGCCCGCCCTGCCCGTGCACACGCACACTCCCGGGAGGCTGAGCACGCTGGCAGCCGGCGTGGCCTCTGCAGGCGGGAGTGTGGGTGGGGGCTGCGCCTGGACATCAGCCTCCGGTGATGGGTCTGGTCAGTGCGCGCAGGCTGACGCGGACCTGGAAGACACTGGAGGCGTGAGATGCTCTGGACCGGGTCTCCACGCTAACACAGCAACACGACACCCCCACCCTTAGCAGGAAACGTGGAGCGCTTGTACAACCTCCGGAAGAAGAGAAAACAGCATTCAGATCAATGGAAAAGCAGATCTTGGTCCTGGCTAGGAAGGATTAATATTAAAAATGTGATTCTTTCTGAAATGAAGCTATAAAGACAGTAAAATCCCAAGGTGGATCAGACAACATGGCCAGAAGTTTGAGGAATGCAGCCATTTCATAAGGAAAACAACATGCTGAGTTGTGGATTCCACCAGAAGAATTTACAATTAGTCTTAAATTTTAAAAGTTTAAAATTTCTAAAACAGATACATTAGATTAGACTAAATTAGAAAAATGAGAACAAGAAAACAGCAAAGAAGAACCAAGCAAAAACATCCTAGATACGACAGGGAAAGAGCTGAGGTGAAGAACTCCCCCATGGGGGCATGAATGGCAGCGTCTCTGCCCAAGGGCTGGGACCAGAAGGACAGAACTGGGCTGGGAGGCCCCCCATGCTGACATCTGGGTGCAGGAGGCCCAAAGAGAACCTGGAAACTGAGAGGGAAGGACTAGAGGGAAGGACAGAGATACACTTCTTGGAATTAAAAAAAAAAAAGACAACAGGCTCAGCTTGAAAGGGCCCAGGCACCAAGCAGAGGACACAAGGAAAACCCTCCCCTGCCTCGCACATCACCGTGAAACCAAACACAAGAGAAGTGTGAAATCATCCCCGGAAGAACGACATATAAAGGAACAAGAGCCGTCCGTCGTCCTCAGCTGCTCGGGGGGAGAGATTCAAAGTATCAAGGGAACGAGAAGCCATGATTCTAGGGCTGTAACAGCTGGGGGGCCATGGGGCCTGGGGATGCAGCAGACACCGTGGAGCGGCAGGAGCTGAGGTCTAAGACTTCGTGTCCCCGGAGTTAGGTGTCAGCAGGACCGAGGGGCGGTGCGCCCCAGCTCTTGTCGAGGGAGATCCTGCATCACATTGTTTAGAGAAGGAAGCACAGGGCTGGTCACTAAGCCTCCCTGTGAGGCCCCTGGCTTCCCGACTCTTGTCCCCCCGCCTGCCTCCTTCCGCTGCCTCCTTCCACAGGCCGTTTCCACTGAGAAAAGGAGGTGCAGGGCATGTCCGCTATCCAGAACGCCACTCTTGGCCCCTCTGCTGATGTGGGTAAGGGTCATCTGCTTCTGCTGCTGCTGAGGATTATATCCATGTGAGAATTCAACAGAAACATGAGGATGATCCTTGTACTGTCCAAGGGATCCCGGATGATCACGATAAAAAGAAACGAGTGAAGGTGTCTGAGAACTTTGCCTGCCACAGTGCTGTACTCGAGCACCCAGGATATGGAGAGGTAATTCCGCCCCAGGGTGACCAGCACAAGACCATATTCCTGGCAGAGGCTGGACCGGCCTAGGACGGCCAGTGGGAGGCTCATGGGTGTTACGTGCTTTTGGCCCCCTGGAGCTCAAGTGAGGATTTCCTCACTGCAAATAAGTAGAATTTACCTTCTGTCCCTTGTCATACGTTTAAAAACCTCACAGTCTATATAATGTAACCATTTGGGGTCTGCTTTTAACTTGGACTAGTTTAATTCCTTTAGTGCAATAAACTGAAAAGAGCCAAAAAAAAAAGAACAAATTAGCAAAAAAGCTTAGGAACCATGGGACATGCTGGTAATAATCTGGTAGAAAGCAGCCCATGACAGTTAAAAGCCAGAGGTTGTCAGGTTGCATAAAAATCTAGGTATTTTCTGCTTTAAGAGACACACCTAAAGCTTATGAGTGCCACTGAAAGTATGAATGTGGAAGATGATTTATCAGGAATATTCTAACCAAAGAAAGTTGGTGTTGCTATCCTGAATCAGACAAAATAGACTTTAAAATAAATGGCTGATTAGGGTGGAGAGGGTCACTAATGAGAAAGGCTCAACTTACTAAAAGATACAGCAATTTAAAATATGTATGCAGCTAATAAAGTAGCTTCCCAATATGCGATTTAAAGATTGCTAAAACTGCAGAGGGGAACTGACAAGCCCCCATTGCAGTGAGAGATTCCAGCTCACCTCTCAATGATCGGTAGCTCAAGCTGGTAAAAACTGGCAGGTACATAAAAGATCCACCCCACCCCACTGACCACCTGGAGATACACACAGGTCTCAAGGACAAACAAGGCGTTTACAACACGTGACCATGTGTAGGACGTCTGAGTCATGCACAAACCTGCAACAAGTTTCAAAGGCGTGGTGACCAACCCAGAGAATGAAAACAGAAGGTAAAATGATGTTACAGTCTGGTACCAAAAACATAAACATTTCAGCATTTCTGGAATATTAAAAACATGCTGCTGAATAATTACTTAGTTAAATAGGAAATCACAACTGAAGTCTACAAATTCCTAGAACTGAAAGAAAATGAAACCACAGACCATGAGATCAGCAGCAGTTGTGATTCAAGGAAACAGAAGTGAAAGGCAGAAAACGAAGGAGCCAACTGCCCATCTCCCAACGAATTCCCGACGTTGCAGGAAAAGGGACTCACGTCAGACGTTATCGTGATTCTGTGTAAGGAAGCGTCCACAGGCCCTTCATCTGGGAGGTGAAACAGGAGTGGCAGTGAGACAACACAGTTTTTTTCTCTCTTCTCTCAACATTTGAGTGTTTTTTTAAGGCTTCTATATTATTTTCAAAATGACTCTTTCACAAGATATGGAAGTGCCCCCATCAGGGACGACTCCCAGTGGCATCTCGTCGCATGGGGTCTGAAGACTCTGAGCCTGACTCTCAGCTGATGTCCAAGGCCCCTCAACGTGGGGGACCCTCCTGAGCAGCCCCCTGCTTCCCGGGGACTTGGTGGCCCTAAGCCTCTCCCTGCCCAGGAGCCCTGCTGATTGAAGGACTGGATGTAGAGGTGGCCCCAAGGGCAAGCCCCTCCTTCCAGCCTGAGGGCAGGACATGGGGAGCAGGGTGGCATTTAGGTCCCAGACTGGGTGCTCAATTTGCAGGGTCTCTCTCTTTCTTGCCACACTGGCCCTCCGGGTGGAGACCAGGGCCTCTGGGGCAGGCTGAACTCCATGCTAACTGTTGGGTCACGTTCCTGTGAAGGCCACCAAAACACTGGCACTATAGTTATTTTTATAATCACCCCAACATTTGTGCATGAGAAACGAATATCTCCCCTTTTCGATGCTTCTCCGAGGTCAGCACGTATCAGCCTTCGCCTCTGGGAATGACCTCCCGCAGGCGCACGGCCAGGACACTGCCTTGGTCCGGGGTCCCCACGCCCCCAGGACCCTGGCTGGGAAGAGGGGCTCTCTGCCCAAGGGCTGCCAAAGGGCAGCAAAGCCTTGCACCTTTACCACTGTCTCTATTCTTGCTGCCGCCCCCACTGCCCACAACTGTCAGCCTGAACACGCTCCTCGTGGGTTCTCGGTGGGCACGTCTGGTGCTCGGTGTGCGCACGCCCTTGGGCAGGAGGCACGCTCTCGGGGTCCTCGGACCCGTGCGCGGAAGTGAACTCACCCTGCTCCCCAAAGAGGCAGAACATGGACTCCGGTCAGGGCTCTCCGGGGAAGACGCCGCCTGCTGCTTAATTCTTTTCTTCGGAGCGAAGCGCTTCTCGGAAAGGTGTAAGAAGAAACTCGCCACCAAGAAAGTCATAAGCTTTCTGTGAACCCAGGGCAGTTCCTGAGACTCGAGCGACTTCCCGTAACCCGGTTTCCTTCCTGTGCCCAGGACGCGGCTGCCCACCCCGCGGGTACCGGGATCCTCGTTCCCGCCGCCTCTTCCCCTGGCTCCGCCCTCGGGCCGCTGGGCTTATTTCTCCGCGCCGAGGGCGGGCGCGCCGCAGCTGCCGGCGACAAAGAGGACGCGCGCCCCGGGAGCGCGGCCAGGTGAGGGGCGCGCGCCGGTTCGCGGAGGGCTTCGGGCATCGGCCGCGGGCGGGAATGGGGGCGCCGCAGCGCGGGCCCAGGACCGGCCCCGGGGGCGCAGGGTGCCCGCCGGGGAACGGGGGCCGGCAGGGGCTGAGGGTGGTGGTGGGCGCCCTGAAGCTCGGCCGTCGGGGGTGGGGGCGGCGGGTGGCCTCTCCGGGTCCGGCGCCCCACCCGCCGCCGACTAGCCCGGGCGCACTCAGGCGCGCGCACACCCGCCAACTCACACTCGCGCAGCCACGATGCTCGCACACCCGCCGCAGCACACGCGCAAGGACTCGTCGGTCAGATGAGACTCCCGCGGCCTCCCTGACCGAGGCGGGCCTCACCGGCGCCTTCTCACGCCCCCCTCTCGTTTTGGGGCGACCGCAGCAGCGATCTCTAAGTTCGGTTCCCCACCCACCGCTGGTTAGCGATCTGCAGCGTGAGCCACTTCCCACCCCGTGGGCGGAGGAGCCAGAGCCCTAGGAGGCGCCCCCCGCGCCGGGGGCTGTGTTCGGGGAGGCGGTGGGCTCCGCGCTCCCAGCTGCAGGGCGGGGTGGGGGGGGCAGCCAGTGCCAAGGCTGTGAAGCGGGCGGGTGCGCCAGCCCCGCCCTCGGCCTGGAGGCCCGACTGCCCCCGGGGGTCCCCTCCCAGCCGCGGCAGCCGGGACCCGGACAAGGCGAGCAGCGCCTGGACGGGGCGTCCCCTCGCCCGAGCTCAGGTCGGCTTCTGGCCGCTGCTCGCCCGCAGGTGTCGCTCAGCCCTCCCTGCGGCTGCGGAATGCCTGCCGGGTCGGCATCCTCGGGCGGCGCGCGCGCCTCGCCTGAGCCCCGCAGCAGCGGCTCGGGTGTGGGGAGGGGAGCTCCGAGTAGAAGCCCCCACCTTCACACACGCGGGGTCCCGGAGAGGGGGAGGTGCTGGCACTGACTCCCAGGGGTGAGCAGCTCCTGAACCTGTGAGTCACCCTGGGGCCGCGGACGCACAGCCCCCGGCTCTGCCGTCTTCCCGTACGCGGACGCCCATGCCTGTGTCGGCAGTTTGAGAGAAACCTGAACCGCTGCCCTTGTTTTTCCCCAACTCGGGGAGGCTCGAGTCCCCCCCACACCCCACACCTGAGCTTCTGCCTTTCTGCCTGCTCGCGAGTCACACCCTGGCCTCCCTCGCCTGTTTTTCTGTCCCTGGCAGTGCTGTCGACAAGAGGGCATTGGCAAAGGAAGTGGGGCGCCAGACTCACAAACATTTGACTTCAGATAATGTGAATCACTTTTAAATGTGACTGTCCCAAGTACTGCACAGAATATACTTATACTACGAGTATATCTGAAACCCAAATGTCACTGGGTGTCTGTATTGTGCTTGGCAAGCCCAGAGAGGAACCTCTTTCAGCAAAGTGAATTTTCTCCTGCAAATTCCAAGGAGTAACTGGATGTTCCTGCTCATGGGGCAGCACGGTGCCTGCCAGGAGACCTGGGCTGGGTGCTTTTCATACCAAATGCAGGGACTTGGGTCAGTCGGGGGCTGGGGAGAGGTGGACCCAACCACTGCCTGGACAGGAAGGGCTCAGCCTGGTGCCTGCAGCTGGCCCTGGCTGGAGGCTGGAGGCTGGGCCGGCCTCCCCGGTGTCAAGTCCACCCTCCATTGGAGAGAAGGCCAGGGCAGAGCTGTCTGTGCTGGGCAGGGGATGATGTCCAGAGACGGCCAGAGCTGGGCCCTGGCCCTCACACCAGTGCACGAAAGGACAGGCTGAGCCAGTGTTCCAGTGGCAGGGCTCAGAAAGAGGCCTCTGTGGGGCCTCAGCTGCTGTTGACTGTGTGCCCAGAGAATGGCTGCCCATGACTGCGTGGCTGAGAGCAAAGTCCCTGGAGGCACTTTCAAAACAAATGACCTCCCAGCTTCCCAGCAGGACGGGATTCCCCAGGAGCGGAGGTGGTGACAGGCGGGACTGTGCAGAGAGCAGTGACGTACACCTGGCCCCACCCACTCCACCCTGCAGGTGGGCAGCCGTGAGGTCATGATAAGCCTGGATTCAGAGTTGGCATCGACTCCAAGGGCCTGGCATCCACCACCGCCCGAGGCACAGGGCCCACGAGGATGCTGGGCAGGGCGCCTCCAACTCTAAGCAGCTCCCATCTCTAGGTCTCTGGTCCTGATTCCCCATCCCTTGTCCAGATCCCATATCTGGTGCAGTCACTGCTACGTCTGGCCTGCATCACATGTTTTCCTAACTGTTGTCACGTGTTTATCCTTCCTGGTAAATTTAATCACTTTTCAAGATCCCAGTAAACCTGGGGTGTTGACTGAGCATAAACGAGTGCTCATGTAACAGCCCTGGGCCCAACTTGGGCAGCCATGAGGCCCAACCCAGCCAGGCTAGGCCCCTCTTCTGCAGAGTCTGCGGCAGTCCTGCCCCTGCTGAGGCCCTGAGATGCCACACCACAGGGCCTCCCACGCGCTCTGTGGACAACAGATGCTTGGTCCCCCTGGGCCAGCACCCCTACCCCAGGGCTGCTCAGTGAAGGGCTCTGCCAATGCTCCTCAGTGGCCCCGGGCAGGTAAGAGGTCAGCATGGGCCGTACCTGGACCAGGTGACGTGCAGAGGAGGTGGCTCAGTGAAGGAGTTCCTGCTACACGTGACTTGCTGGCTGGGCTTTGGACAGTGCGTGCGTGCTGGCAGGCAAAGGAAAGTGAGCGTGGGGTAGCCTGGCCTCTGTCACGTGAAGCAGCTGGGGTGGGGCCCAGAGGTTGTCCTGGTAGGACTGCGACCTTCAGCAGCCAGGGCATGGCCCTCTGGGGGAGCAGGAGCAGGGTGTCCCAGGTCCATCAGTCCTGGCCTGGCCGACCTTTGCTCTTAGGTATTTTGTCGTCTGCCTGCCAGAGAAGCTCCCCTGCTAGGGCCGCCCTGCCAGCCTCCCAGCCCCACCAGAATCACCAGCTCCCAATCTCTCTGGTCTTCACAGTACCACAAGCTCCTGGATCCTGCAGACCCCAGATACCTCCCAGCCTTCCTGCTAAGCCCTGAGGTGACATGGAGGGGGTGTGGTAGAAATAAATTCACAACGGACAGAGGACTCAGGGCCCCGTGTCTGTGTACTGGCATCTGGTGACACAGCAGCTCAGGTGCACCTTCCCCTGTCCCGGAAGGGCCAGGCCCCCAGGAGCATGTCATCCCACCTCCGGCCAGGGAAGAGCTTGGCCTGCCCCCACCAAGACGGGGACACGCGGACCCATGGTGCACTGGAGGCAGCAGAGCCGAGGGCTGCGAGCCCATGACAGCTGAGGGCGGGGTGGCGTCCCTTGGGGCAGTGCCCACTCGGGAGACCGCTGGGAGGACACGGAAGCCCTGGGCCTGCACAGGGCCAGAGGAGGCACAGGAGGGCTTCCCGGGCCCTTCCGTGGACACCGCTAGGGGAACGGGCCAGTCTCGGGGTGGGACAGTGCCCACAGGGGTCTCCCGCCAGGTGGCACAGAGGGCCCTGGCCAGAGGGCCGGGAGTGGCCACCTGCCATCAGCAAGGATGCCTTTGGATACCACGTTCTGTGCCAGAACCTTCCAATTTAAGAAGAGTTATTTTGTAAAGATGTTCAGGAAAAAGATTGAGCAGATCCTGTCTGAGGTGCCCCAGCACAGGAAGTTGCCACGCTTCCTTCTAGAACCTTCTGTCCATGTAGCGACATTTAGTGGTGGTGAGCTACCTGGCTGCTGACAGGCGGCGAGACCAGAAGGCTGTCTGTAGGTCGAGTCTGGCAGTCCCATCTCGGCCTCTTCTACCATGTCCTGAGCAGGTGTGGGCAAGATGGGCTGCTGCCCCCTCCACACAACCACAAATTCCTGTTTCTAAAAGAAAAAAAATTAAATTATGTTAATGTTCTAGTGGGAAAACAAATGTCTACGGAAAAATGAACAGGGCAGTAACAGAACCCGCCTTCCACAGAGCAACAGGGAAGAAGTTGTGGCCCGGCCACATCCTTGTGGAGACACCGGGCAGGTCCCCGACGGCAGCCCGGTGCACCATGCCACAGGTGCCCAGGCGCAGCCGCCCTTCCCCAGGAGAAAGCAAGACTGAGCCCGTCACACATCACTGCAAAATGACTTTGAGGTGGATTCACGATTTCAACATAAAAATAAATAAAATGTGGCCATCCAGGGATTCTCCACAGTCTGGGAGGCCTTTGTAAAGGACATTTTAAACAAACAAACAAAAACACTTTTTTTTTATTAAGCTATGATTGATACACACTCTTATGAAGATTTCACATGAAAAAACAATGTGGTTACTACATTTACCCACGTTATCAAGTCCCCACCCACACGCCAGTGCAGTCACTGTCCATCAGTGCAGCAAGATGCCACAGATCCACTATGTGCCTTCTCTGTGCTACACCAAACAAAAACACTTTTAAAACAAAATCTTGAGGCTTTCGAGGAAAAAACAGACAGGACGACATGAGATGTGGAGTGTCTGTATTCCGGAAATGATTGACTAGGGAACACGTGTGCCTCGTTGCTGACAGTTTGTTTCTTTAAACACGGAAGTTTCATAGACCCACAGGAGAAGACAGAAAGCCCCCTCCCCAGCAAGAGAGAGGCGAAGGGTTTGCAAAGGCTGCAGGGGGCAGGGATTCTGGCATGGGGCACAGCTGGTCAGGGAGGAGCCCCTCTCCGCCGCCCCACCAGGCTGCAGCCTGGCGCACCTCTGACCTTCTGCTTCCTGTCCTCAAGGGAATGTCCCGAGCACCAGTGGAGTACACAGGACCCCCAAGGCCATGCTGACCTCAGCATCACCCCACCCAGCTCCCAGGATGCTCTGGAGCCTCCTGCTCCTGGCTGCCTCCCTGCATGCTCAGAAAGAAAGTAAGTCTCAGAGTGATGGGAGGCAGGGGTGAGAGGGGCAGATGGAGATCGGGCACCAGGTAATGGCCCTGACCCCCACGGATGGCACACAGTGGGTGCCCGCTCTGCATCTGGTGGTGACTATCAGCGCACATGGGGGACGAACACGATGTCCGGGTTCCGAGGGTCGGGGTTCTGGTCAGTGGGCGATGTGCAGATGGGCGGCAGGACCGGTGAGGGCTTTCTGCCCCTGCTCTGGTCCCAGTCCGTCGGTAGTGGCTTCAGCGTCACCCGGGAGCTCATTAGGAATGCGGACTCGCAGGCCGCCTCAGCCCCGCAGAATCAGGACTTGCGTTTCTGCAGGGTCCCCCAGCGATGCCCTGGCCCATGGCTCCAGGTCAGGGGCTCCCCGCTGGGCTGTGCAGAGAGATCCCTGAGGGGCTTGTGAAAGATGCTGGCCCGGGCACCTCCCGACCAGTAACATGAAGCCCAGGCGCTGGAGTCGAAAACTGCCCAGGCAGCTCCCAGTAGCAGCCGCTGGGGCCCTGGACTGGATGGTCAGTGCATCTGGCATCAGCAGAGGCCCTGCCTCTGGGGAGCAATGCTCAGCTCCACCGGGTGTCATGTGTTCAGGGCAGCCTGCCTGGCCACCGTCCACAGCTCTCCTGGGTGCTGATGGTCCTCAGGTGGCGCCCACATGAGTGTGGTGATTCCTCCTGCAGTGTTGCTCACCCATCACCTGGACAGGGAACAGAGCCTCCAGCCCGGTGGCTGAGCGGGGAACAGGGCTCCTCGGCCCAATTCGCACGGACGGGCTTGTGGTCCAGGTGGCCCGCCCGCCGTAGCCCCTTCTGGAACACTGGGAGTCTTCTGCCGGCTCCGGCACCCTCTGCACTCCGTTGCCCTCTGACTGGTGCCCATTGGCTCACCTACCTTGGGGGCCACTCTCGGGAACAAGTCCAAACTTGTGCCTGTGGCCTGTGAGGACCCCAATGTCCCTAAATGCTCCTGAATTCCCTTGCAGGCAGGAATCGCCACCTCATACACACCCTCGCGCATTGGTAGCACGTGGCACTGCCACGTGTTTTGTATTTGGTAAGTGGGTAAAATGGCAGCCCCATGCAGCACGCTATGTGCTCCATGGTTGCCTGGCTGCCCAAACTTCTGTCCACCAGGTCCAGTCACCAGTGGGACAGCCAGGCGGCTGGGTTGTTAGAGCCTGTTTCATGGAAACCGGGCTGCCTGACGCCTGTGGGTGTCTCGTGACAGCCCCCAGGGCGCTGCCAGTCGGCTCATCCAGAAGGGCCAGAGGCTGACCTTGGGCCAATTCGCTGCAAGATTTGCCTTCTGAGGTTGGGAGAGTACTGGCCGAGCGGCCAGGAGGGGCAGATGGAGGTGGGTTGAGTGCTGGGTGCCTCTGACAGAGGCAGGCGGGTGTCCTGGAGGGTCGGGCCCTCCTCCTGGAGCTGGCACGCACACCCAGCCCAGAGTGGAGCCTCCAGCACAGAGCCTGGGTAAGGTGGGGCAGCTGCAGTCAGGGTCCACCTCCCAAATGTCAGCTGAGCAGGCAGGTCTGGAGCAGGCCCACCCGTTCCTGGGCAGGGACTCTGGGCCATGTCTCAGGCTTGGGAATGCAGGGGAACACACACGTGTCCACACACGTGCTCATGCACACATGCACGCACACACACACAGATATGTCCGCACACAGCCTCCCCTGTGCTTCTATTTTATTTTTCCACCTGAGTTGTTCTTAGCACCCCCCACAGGACCCCTGTCCCTGGGGCCTCGTCACCTGCCCCAGCCCCGGGAAGGGGGTCAGTGTGTGTCCTGAGGCCCAACCCTCACCCACACGTGTGACCTGTCTCCCCACAGGCTGGGACGACCCCACTTGCACTGAGGGTGTGGTCACTGTGTCCAGGGGTGCATGCGCCGTGATGTCCTGCACCATCTCCCACCCCCTGTCCAACGTCACCGTCTGCCTGAGTGCCCAGGTCCCCGTCTGCCTGAGTGCTGATGGGAAGAACCAGCCCCTCGTCAGCAGGAAGGTCCCTGGAAGCCCCGCCCATGGTGGGTGGCAGCTCCGGGTCCACGGAGCCGTGGCACAGCTGGTGATTGATGGGGCCCAGGATGCGCAGGCCGGGCAGTACACGTGGTATCTGGAAGGCTTCCAGAGAAGCATTAGGACCACCACACTGAGCGTTTCAGGTCAGCGGAGGGCTGGGGCGGGGCACTCCTGTCTGAGGGCAGCTGGGGAGGGCCAGCTTCCTGCACCTGAAGCGCCCAGAGCCCGGGATGTGGCCCAGTGCAGCCATCCTGGATCCTAGCAAAGCAGATGGCTCCTCAGTGGGACCTGGGCCACGGGGCACAGCTGGGGGCTGCTGGTCCAGGGGGCGGGTGAGGCCCATGCTTCTCCCTCCTGCCCACCCAGATCCGCACCCACTCACCACCAGAAATCCCAGTGCCCGTCCAGGCCCTTGCAGAGCTTCGCCCTCCCTGCAGAAGCCTTGTGGTCTCCTCACCTCTGGCCGGCTCTGTGCTGGCACTTGGTGAAGTCACTGGCTGCAGAAAGGGGCCACACCCACAGCCTCGCCCTGGAAAATGTCCACCTGAAGAGCCCAGGGCCCCCCACAACCTGCTCTCTGCCAGCCCAGCCCCCAGCCCTGCACTGGCCCCCCACACCCCTCCTCTTGGGGTGCTGGTCACAGCCCCATGCCCCCTCCAGGATACTCTGGGTAAAGCCAGTGCCCATGGCCCCGGGGATGCTGCTGTCGCCCCCACTCCTTCCCCCGGCCCCATTCTAATCCAGTCATGGTCACCCTGGGCTCTGGGTGCAGCGGTGGTGGGAGTTGGGACTGGTGCCCCACTGGGCCAGGGGAACCCAGCGAGCCCTCTGTGGACTCCTGGTACCCAAGTCTCATGTGTGTGCGGGGCTGGGGGGCTGCATCAGGAGCAGAGGCCCAAGAGCCAGAGAAGAGGAGAGCCCAGCCCTTCTCGCCTTCCCAGGGTAGGTGGCGTCCTTATCTGGAGGGACAGGGGGGGAGCTCCCCGCCAGGAGGCCCCCAGACCCCCTCCCGCCTGGCGCCCACGCCCACCCCCACACCCCACAGCCCCTCCCTGCCTCCTGCTAAGTGGCGTGACCCCCTGCAGACCCGGAGAGGCTGCACCGCCCGCCCGCAGCTGGGAGCCAGCTCGAGGTGGTCCTCGTCATCATCCTTGTTGTCACCCTCTCCTTCCTGGTGGCCGGCATGTTGGCCTGGCACCAAAGACACAGGTTCCTGAAGTTCTTGACACTCCCGCAGGTGGGAGGCCTGGCACCTGGTCTGGGGTGGGGGGAGCTGGGGGGGGGCGTCCTGGACCTGGCGTGGACACTGGGCCCTGTGGCCTTGCACCCACCGAGCTGGGGGAGGGTGGGTGCAGTGCAAGTCCCAGAGAGTGGGTGCCCCTGCCCAGGGGAGTCCAGCTGGCCTGGCAGGCCCAGGACCCAGTGCCCCACTCCCAGCCAGACCCACCGGGTCTCCACTGTCCCCAAGCCCTCATTTGCCCCCAGGACATCCCGAAGGGCAGCATGGAGGGGCAGGACTCCCTGCTCCTTCCAGGAGACCCCAGTGCTTCCTTGGGCACAGTGGGCGTGTGCCCGGGTGCATGTGAGCAGGCGTGGCGCAGCCGGTGTGCGCGTGTGTGCCTGAGTGTCCGTGTGCACGGCTCTCAGCCCTCTGCACGCTCCTGCCTCACAGATGACTTCGTTCTGAGCAAGGAGCAGGGGCCACCAGTGAGGGAGATCCGGCGCCCAGCCCGACTCACGACCACTGGCAGGGGCGGCCGCTCCAGGGAGAGGGCCCCGCCTGCCCCCTTCTCCCCCACATGGAAGCCGCCTGTGGCAGCAGACCCTGCTCAGTGCGTGGGGTCCATCAGCCTGGGGGTGAGCCCCCACCCTTCATGGAGGGTGGCACTGGGGACTCATGGGCAGGCCCCCCATGCAGGTCTGTGCTGCCTCAGTCCCCAGGGGCTCTCTCTGCTCCCTCGTCCTGTGGCCAAAAGTGTGGAAATGTCAAGTACTGGGTCATTTGGCCTGAAGGACCCTGTCCCTCGTCCGCCCCATCCCACCCTGCGGCCTGGCTCCTTCTCCCCGGGTGTCCAGCCCCAGGTGCAGGAGGGCGCCTACTGTCCCCTTGGAGACACCCCAGGTCTGGGTGCCCGTTGGCCGTGGGCACGCTCCTCTCTCAGCCTTGAGCAAGAACCAGTTTGGGGCTCCGTCCTGCCAGCCGTCTCAGGGGCTGAAATGTGCACCCACCCCACCACCACTAGGGGGCGCAGCCCAGAAGCGCTCTGGGGGGGGGCCAGCAGGTGGCAGCGGGTCGCTGGTGGCTCCTCTGCCTACCCACCTGGCCTCTCCTCCTACCCAGGTTCCCCTCCCTGCATCTGCCCCGCCTGCTGGCCCTTCCCCATCCCAAACCCATTTATGTAGCGCGTCGGCAAATCAATTGTGATTATGTCAAATTGTGTAACTCAGTTGGGTGTAATCTTAATAGGAATAAACAGGGTTTTAGTACATTCAATGCTTTGAAAACATCCATACACTAATGAGCAAAATGAACCAATCAACAAATCAAAGGAACTGGGAAATACACATTTTTTGAGTGGAAGAAAACGCACAAATCTAGAAGCTGCAGCTTTGTGTCGAGACGTGCTCAGAAGTCCCAAGGCATCGGAAAGGTGCAGACATCTGGAAGTCCTCACTCGCAGGGAGAACCCCAGCCGCAGGCCCTGAGTCGCACCTGGTGACTGGCCTCCAGGAAGGACATCTGGGAGCAGCCGGGATCCAGTGGGAGCCGGCCGCCCCTCGGTCTCTGGGCTTGAAGTAAGGTTCATGTCACCGCAGTGCTGGCTTGGTGCCTCATAGGACCAGGCCTGTGTGACAGTGGCCGTGGCACCCAGGGCCCCACCCTTTGGGGGCCACAGGATCTACTCCATCCTGCCCAAGACAGACCAGAAGTGTCGGCGTACTGACCTACACTGAAGGTCACTTCAGTGCCGATGCGGTGGTGGGGGCGCCCACCACAGTCATCCTGCCCTCTGTGCCCCACGGAGGAAACCTAGGAAGGAATCCTGGCTCTGGGTCCCTCCAAGGCCTTGCCCCCCTCTCTGGACCCTGTCCCAGGCTGCAGGCGGTGGCTGACATGATGGGCCAGATTTCAGGCCAGTTGGGTCCCAACAGAAAGTGACCCAGGGTACCAGGCTGGCTGGAGCCTGTGCCCCACCCCACCCAGGGGACCCCCGTGTCTCTCATGGACATCCCCTGGCCTGTGGAGGTGCAGCAGGGGTGGGGGGCCTGACAACGGTTACCCTATAGGCACTCAGGGCCACAGTGCAGGGGATGAGGGCCCCCCTCCCATTCCGGCCTGCAGAGCCTCCCCTCACCGTGGCACCACCTCCAGGAAGCCTGCAGTGGGGAGTGGCCTTTCATGTGGGCTCTGGGGCAGAGCCTCTGAGATGTGGGCTTGCAGTTGCCTGCAGGCAGGAAGGGTCCCAGTGGCAGTGGTACGGGGCTGCCTTTCCCCATTGCTGGGCCTGCGTGGGGCAGGGTGTCCGTGAGTATGGCCCATGGGTTCCGTCTGCTTCTCATGCTCCTCGCGCTGGCCGCAGCCTTGCCTGGGGCCCCCACTCAAGGTGAGTGTGTCCGGCATCCCTCCCTGGCCCCTCGGCAGCTCAGCCCAGACCCCACTCGGGCTGCTCCCTCCTGGAAGGGGTCGGGGTGATGCTGAGGTGACCCTCCCTCAGAGCCCTGAATGCCTGTCGCAGAACAACCAGCCCCTGAACAGGGCGCCGTCTGGGTGGGTGTCTGAGGGGCCTTGGCCTCTCTCTCTCCCTCTTCACCTGGGGGTGGGGACTTTTGCCTGCAGTTAACAAGGCCGCCTTTGGCATGAGAGAACTTTACCCTTTAGTTTGCTTTTTAAAGCAGGTGGTGTGGAGTTCTGCAGTAAGATCAGTTACGCAGGTGGGGTGGGGGCTCTCAGCAATAGTAAAAAAGACAAGAGCCTCAGGATTTAGTTTGCTGAGACACTGGGTGATGTTGAAGACTGGAGGCATTTGCACCAGGACACATTCTGCTGGGTGCTGGCTGGTGGACAAGGGACATCTCTGGGTGTCCCACAGACAAGGATGCACTCGCCCCATAGAGCCACCAGCTCCTGGTGCCTAGAAACAGTGGGGAAACTGAGGCAACCAGTGTTGGAAAGAGAGGGAAACAGGACGGAGCCTCTGGCTCTCAGGGACTGTCACTTGAGAGGCTGAAGGTGCAGAGCCAGGGAGGAGTGGTCAGAGCTTCCCATCGAAGGGCCAGTTGCTTTGGAAGGAAGAAGCCTCAGCTCCAACCTTCACCAGACAGTGGGGTGGGGGGGTCACAGGTGGCCCGGCCCCATGGGCTCCTCCAGAGCTCATGCAACCATGGGGATGCTGGCGCCCACACTACTCCAGGGCTCCCGAAAGAGGCTTCATCCATGGTGACATGTCAGCAGGGGACTGTCCCAAGGCACCCCTGCCGAGAGGAGTGGCCCTCTGCCAGTGGTGACAGTGGCGCCCCTTGCAGAGGTGTGGCAGTCCCCCCTGTACACCATTGCCCCGGAGGGCGGCTACATTGACATCACCTGCCGTGCCAGCGGGACCCTGCATGGGGTCTACCTGAAGCAGAGGTGGCCAAGCCCCGCCAATGTGGTCTACTACGAGGACGGGAAGGAGCCCACCGTGAGCAAGCGGTTCTGGGGCCGCATCGCCTTCTCGGGGCTGCAGCACAACCTGACCATCACCATGAGCCGCCTGCAGCCAGCTGACACTGGGGTCTACGCCTGCCAGGCCATCCTGAAGAGCGAGGTCTGGGGCCCTGGCACCATGGTCGTCGTGACAGGTAGGGAGCCCACCCTGAGGCCACTGCACCTGCCTGCTGGCTGGGCCCGGCTCCACCGCGCTGTTTGTGCGCCTCCCTCAACCCTTGCTAAGTGGTTCCTCTAGCTCAGCCCGCCTCCTCCAGGAAGCCGCCTGGACCCCCCCACCCTAGAGCCCCTCCCGGCCCTGAGCCCTGACGGCTCTCATGGGCCCTCAAGTGCCTCTCTCTGTTCCTTCTTCCCGAACTGTCCCGATCAGCGAACACATGCCAGGAGGGCCGGCTGGTACACCTCTCCCTGCCCGCCGCCCTGGCTGTGGGCTGCTTCCTCACCGGGCTGTGGCTGGGGGCTGTGTGTGCGCTGAGGAGGACACAGGTCAGTGTGAGCCCAGCCGCCACCTGAGTCTCACAGCTGGCAGGGAAGGGGGGAGGTTAAGCTGCCACCTGGGAGTTCCCAGTGCCCACCCCTCCCGTACAGCAGGGTCCGAGGTAGGGGGACCCCAGGACTGCAGCCAGAGCAGGGGTAGCGTGGGCTGCAGTGTCAGCACCCAGGCCTGTGTGTGCCGGACAGCACGGGTGTGAGGCGGTGCCCGCTGGGGCCAGGCTGCTTCCGTCCTCTCCCTCCCCACCCCCAAGCCTGGGGGAGCTCTGGCCCAGAAGCACAGCAAATCTGAAAGCTGAGGGGTGTGCCAGGAGAAGTGGGCACCCGCAGTGAGCTGGCTTTATCTTTCAGATCAAGAGACTTTGCTGGGTGAGGGACGAGCCCCCCCCGGCGTGTGTGGTGTACGAGGACATGTCCTGCAGCCGCCACAACATGATGTCTGTGTCCACACCCAACCACTACCAGTGAGCCCTCCAGGCCTCCCTCTGCCCGGGAAGGGCTCCGAGGGGACTGGCCAGCCCAGTGCGGACACACAGGCAGCCCCCCACAGCAGGCAGGCTCCTCACACTGCCTCCAGGAAGCTGCCCTTGCCCACCTCCTGCCCTGAGGCTGCCCTGCCAGCTGCCGCCTGCCCCTCCCATGGCAGGAGGGGCTTCTCTGTAGGACAGACGTGGGTCCGGGACAGTGGGCAGCCTGACAGAGGGGCCGGGAGAGGCTCAGCTCCCAGCCCAGGCTTGGAATAGAAATAAAGTGCTTCTCCTCTGCCCTTCCCGCCTCCAGCATTTCCTCTCAAGCACCCTGGGCTGGAGATGGGGATGGGAGACCCACTGCAAGGTACTCGTAGGACTTTGCGCTTGTGGAGTGTGTGTGCAGCCCCCCCAGGAAGGAGAGGGACAGGAGGACGCTGCCCGGCTCCAGTCCTGGACAGGCTGCAGACGGGGCAGATCCTGCAGGGCCCTCACCCACCCTCACCTGCAGCCACCACAGAATCAGGTGGGGAAAGGTACTTGGGTGTCTTAACCCAGGGCTCCTCCTCTCGCACCCGTATTGGGGAGCCCTGCCTGCCCTCCAGGCGGACCGGCACCTCTGTGTGAGCGTGACTTGTAGCCGTTTCCTCCTGGGCTCTGGGCCAAGCGACAGCAGCCGTGCTACCCACCCCGACCCCATCCGCCGCCATCAGATCTTCCATCAAACTTGCAAACACGGCTAATACAGTAGACTGCATGGAAAATCTTAAAACCTGTGTCTAAAAACACTACAAACAAGAATAAATGGCAGTCTACAAATTCAGGGCAGATGTTTGAGAATGAAATCACAGAATTAGGGTTCATATGCCTTATAATGTATAAAGAGCCTTATCAGTCAATAGGAAGGAGATGAATACTCAAAAGTGTACAAATCCGAAAACAAGCAGTAACACAAGGCACCATTCAAATTGCTCATTACCAAACATCCACTGAAATGACGTAGCCCTTCCCCCACTGGGTTTGCAAAGATCAAAATGTCAAGGCAGGATGTCCCTTTCACCTGGAAATCCCACGTCCGGAGTCCCCGCTCTGGGAGGTGATCTCTGGGTGCAGAAATGAAATCGCCGTGCTATTCATGGTAGTGTCATGTTCAACACAGAGTTGACGACTGAGGCATGGCCTGGGTGCCCAGGAAGGAGCGGTGCGTGACAATTACAGTGCAGACAGCACGTGTTAAGATGGTGCCGTGGGGAATCTATAACGTCATACTGGGCCCTTGACAAGACACCACAAGTGATGCCGACTGGTGCACTGTGCCCTGTGTGTGTGACCCCATGTTACCAAGTACAAGGGCGCATGTGGCTGTCGACTGTGTTCTTATGTCTGCATGAATAACGTCATGGAAGAGCAGACGGAGGTGTGGGCCCTGGTTCTCTCTGGGGTAGGCAGCTTGGAACATGATCTCAGCGGCTCTTGGGGGCGGCTCTGGGGACCTGAAACTGGGAAACACCCCTCTGCAGAGCAGACACCCCACCAACTGTGCAGCTGTTGGCTGAGACTGGGGCAGCTGGAGGCAAAGGCCTTGGTTGTGGGGGGCAAATTGTGGAGGCTGTAGCTCTAGGGACTCCCTGGAGGTGGGGAGCTTTTACACTTGGAGAAACGGGCCAGCTCAGCCCAGAAACGGGCCAGCTCAGCCCAGAAACGGGCCAGCTCAGCGGCCGCACACAGTGGGAGCAGGGAAACCGTGGCGGGATGCTGACGGTGCCTCACCCTGCTCCTCAAATCCAAGGCCGGCTGCCAATGCTCCCAGGGAAGCCCCCACAGGAGCTGGCCGGGGGGCAGCTCTCAGGGAGGGGGAAGGTTATGAGGGCAGGATCTCAGCCGGGGCTCACCCCCTCCGATGCTAGGTTGGCCCACCCCAAAACTCTGGAGCAGACCTGGGCCCCTTTAAGGCCTATGGCCCAATAGCTAACATCCTGAGCACAGCTGCTTCTCCAGGAGGCGACAGCCACCCAGGCCACCACCACACCTGCCAGAGCAGGTCAACGCCAGAATGACGGACACCTGCAGGGACAGTCATCAAAACATCCACGTGGGAAGTTAGGGCTGCACCGATCCTGACCTTCACTGGTTAGGCTCCCTGACCCAATAGACAGCAGATGGGGCGAGCAGCCGGAGAGGGACGGGACAGCTGGACAGAAGCCTCCCAGAAGGAAACGAGAAAGAAAAATCCTCAGGGACATCAGTAATGGAAGGAAAAACATAGCCAATAAAGGCTTGAGAGAGAGAATGGTGAGAGCTCCCAGAGGCGGGGAGCACAGAGGACCGACAGGCTCTCGGGGGCCACAGGGTCCGAGGCAGGCCTGCACGGGGACATACGGAGCCGGAGCAGCAAAGGCGGAGAAATCCTGAAACTCAGATGGCATCAGGCTTCTCAGAGACAACTCTGAGTTCAAGGAGACGACGTAATAATCCCCTTAAGTATTGCAGGAAAAGAACTTTGCTCCTGAAATGTCAAATTGTCATTTCAGTCTACAGATGTCATAAAGATATTCTCGGCCATTAAGGTCTTAGAACACTCCAACAAGAGTCAACTCTGAAGCCCCTCTTGGAGGCAATGTTCACGTAAGAAGAGACGAGACATGGGAACCACCAAATAACTTGGTGAAGCTGACTTTTGTCCAAAAAACAATGACTTAAGAGAATAAACATACAATCTACAATCTATGTGCAATCTACATAACAATCTAGAACTCACACTCTAGATGATACCAGCCCAGCAGGGAGGGAGGGAGGAGATTAAGGGAAGTAAGAAATTGCTGAGGCATTTATCTCAACAGAAAAAAGACTAGATGAAAGTAAGGTTAAGACGTTAATCTGGGTGAATGAACAGGGAGCAGGTTTAAGGGCAGATGCCATGGGAACCAAACAACATACCACTTAAACCAGCAAAAAGGTGTCCAGTGGAAGCAGGAAAGGGCAAAAACATAAATGCAAAGAATGTGCATTGAATGGAAACTATGCAATAAGATGATGAAATAAATTCCTAGTTTCACAGAAAGTACAATTAGTCCTAATAACAGTAATTACAGTTGCAGTAATCACACAATAAATGCTTTTACAATAAATGTAAGTGGGCCAAACTCACCAATTAAAAGTTTCAAACTGCATTTAAAAGAAAAATTTTGACAACAGGTTGTGTGCAAGAGACACACATTTAAACAAAGGACAATAATAGGTTGGAAATAAAAGGATGGAGAACATACATCTCATATAAAATGCAAACATGAACCAAAAGAAAGTTGGAGTCAGTCTATTTTCCAACAGAATAGTAGTACCGGCCAGAGCAAAAATATGTAACCAATATGAACACATGTGAGTCTAAAAAATAAACAGGCAAAAATATGTGAGGCCACAAATGATGTGACCACTGGGAAAAGCAGGCAAACCGACCATTTAGTTGGGGCCTCTGCCGGGCACCCAGCCCGTGGGCCCTGTGGCCACAGCCCTGTATGCTTCCAGCAGGACCCAAGTCCTCGGCTGCCCTTGTAAGAATAGAAATAGGTTAGCATAAGCATAGCCATCTTAAAGGCCTAGAAGCCATTTTCTGAGTATGTGACTTAGAAAGAAAAACTGGAACTGGGTAAGGCCTTGAAAAACAAGCTAATCATGAACACCAGGTGGTGGGCAGCTGTGGCCTTTAGTCAGCTAACCTTGGTCAGCTAATCCTACATACCAAGCTTATCGTGCAGAACCTCCCTGACAATTGAGGAGTGGTCTTATCTTGCTCCTGCCTAACCCCAGGATGTATGTCTTGCAAGAATAATGTGCAGCTGTGGAAAATTACTATGAGTTAAGTGTTTTGAAAATGCTATATAAACCCTTGGCTTTGAGTGCTCGGGGTCCTTGTTGAGACCCGCTGCGTGGGGCTGACATTGGACCCAGCTAGCTGGCTGAATAAAGACTTTGCTTGAATTTACATCTCTATGCCAGTGTAGTTTGTTCTCTGGAGAGGCCTCGGAAGCCCGGACCCTAACACCCTCTGCACCCCAGGGTGTGGTTCAGGGGAGTCTGCCTTGCAGATGGTCCGGGGAAACAAGGAGAATGTTCCCTCAGCTCAGAGCACTCTGAGGCAAAGCAGCAGGTCCAGCCCAGCAAGGCCCCTGAACTTTGCAAATTGAGAGGGGCTCTCTCTGGGAAGGAACGCAAGCTCATGGGCCCGGAATCAGGTTCAGAAGAGAAAATTTATTTAGAACGAAGAAAGAAGTCCAAGCATCAAAATACTGAGGAAATCATATTTTTAAATGAACTGACACCACCAATCATCCTGTTTTTTCCTGCATAAGTTGGTGGCCTGCTCTGGTTGCCTCTTGTGATGACTGCGATTCTGTGAGGCTGGTTTCTAGAGAGAGAACAGAGCTTAAACGCCATTCCTTCTGAAAGCCCAGTCTTGGCCAGGACAAGACGCGCCAGGGCACAGGGCTCGGCCAGCTGGGGAGGCACAGAACGTGAGCCTTGGCTCTCTGCAACCACAGGGATCCTGGGGAATCCTATTTTTCAAGATTCTTACCAAAAAAGAAAAGCAGGGTGGTGGTACACACAATTGTGTCTGGCTGCCTCAAGGAGCACCATCCTGGGGGCACAAACGTGCCCCCGTCCACAATTCCACGCTCCGAAGACCTCAGGCCTTGTTCCTCAGCCACCGAGCCCTGCACGGAGGGCGCCAGCACCTCTCTGTCCGGTTCCCACGCCACATCTTCCTGTCTCGAAGAGCTGACCCAGGGGCAGGAATCTGTATTAGTTTCCTGTGGCTGCCGTAACAAATTGCTACAAATTTGGTGTCTTAAAACAATGGAAATTAATTTTCTCACAATTTTGGAGGCCAGAAATCCACCATCAGGGCAGGGCGGCTCCTTCCCACCCCGTGGCTCCCGGTGGTGGCCAGCAGTCAGCTCCGGGCATCGCTGCCCTCTGCCTCTGTCCCTGCGGTCTTTCCCCTGTGTCTGCGTGCCTGTGTCCGTATTCCTCTCACAAGCACCTTGGTCGTACTGAACATCAGGCCATCCAGGATGGCCCCATCTTAAATACATCTGCAAAGACCCCATCTCCAAACAAGGTCCCACTCACAGGTTCCAGGTGGGTAAGAATCTCACGGGGGCGCCACTCAGCCACCCCTCCACATATAGCAGAAAGCTCGTTGTCCTCAGAGCCACCACACATCCATGAACAGACCCCACTAACCCGACTACATGTACGCTCAGCTCAGCCTCCCTGTGGCCAGGCCTGAGCCGGCCCGAGGCCGCCTGGCCTCCAAGGGCAGCGGGCCTAGACCACTGTGGTCAGAGCATCTTCGGCACATTTCACACCACACCTGGCCCTCCAGGCCTCGGCAGGGGCTGAGCACCAGGGTTGCTGCTTAGCAAACCCAGGGGGCCCACCAGCTGGGGTGCTTCCGGGGGATGCTGACCACACTGGGCGCCCCACACAGAGCGGCCTAAGCCACCGCCAGGCGTGGAAAGTGGGGCGTAACTTCCATTACCTGAGATGGGGGCCAGAACACTTGAAGGACAGCACAGATCCCTGGTCACTGCCTGCTGGGCTTGCACCCCGACGCCCTGAGGCTCCCCTGAGGGTCACTGTGGGCCTCTACAGTTGACCTAGCCAGAGCCCCTGAAGCCCCTGCCCACCACCAGGAATGCCCACCCTGCCGTACGCTCCCTCTGCCGTGAGGCTCACCCTGGGCCAGCGGGGACACCCAGTCAAGGGCTGGTGGGCACTCGGCTGGAGAGGCAGGCAGGGCCATGCCCACAGTGTCCAAGCCCCCGAGAACCAGCTGGGATTTGCCAAGGTGGAACCAGGAGCTGGTTCCTGTTATGCTAAATGAGTGACTGTGAGTCCCTCCAACAACACTGACCGAGAAGCCACTCTGCTTGGGGCACGGGACTCAGTGCCAGCTTGAATAAATAAATGGGGTTCCTGCTGGGGGCAAGGCGGGCAGCAGGGAGGTCCAAACGGAAATGCCTGAGGTGTTGGGGAGCCAAAGTGCGAGAGAAGCCTGGAGGGGCCGGGAGCAGAGCAGGACTGCAGGGGACACCCGGGGACAGTGTCCAGGCGAGGGCAGGGGCCTGGGCAGCAGCCCAGGTGTGTCCAGGGACCTGGTAGCGTGAGACAGGATTGCAGGGAGGAGGTGGGGAGGGACAGGGGCACAGGTGGGAGGGGCTGGGCCGCACATTCACTCTGGGAGGCCAGGGGGCAGCACATGCCCTGACAGAGGAGACAGCAGGTACCCCGGCTGGGGAGGAGGGCATGGGTGGGCAGTGGGCCTGCCCAGGGCAGCAGAACACGGAGCAGAGGGAGGCTGAGAACCGTGAGAATGGTCGGCCTGGAAGCAGCGGCGGGGCAGCAGGAGCTGCGAGACGGGGCTGAGGCTGGGCTGGCCTGAGCTGAGAAGATGAGGTGCAGACCCAAGCAGACAGCTTGTGGGAAGGAGGGCTTCAGGCAGACACTGGCCGCGGCATCAGCACTGTGGGTGAGGCTCCGCCAGGACCCCTGCACCGCCCCAGCCAGGGGCCCAGTGAGCAGCTGCCCACAGGCGCCGTCTGCCTGCCCACGCGTGGCGGCTCGGCTGGTGGCTGCAGGGAACGAGAAGGAGCTGCCGGCCTGCGGTCCCCAGCAGGCTCTCACGCCCGCGCGGGCCTCGCGCCACCCCAGCCCTGCGCGGTCCTACAGCCCCAGGGTGACCACACTGCCCCACCCAGCTCCTAAACCAGGTGCTGGGAGGCGAGCAAAACATGCTGACCCCCACCGCCTCAGCAAATGACACCCGCCGCCCAAGCTTCAGACCCACACCTGTGGGGGCTCAGCCCCATCGTGGGCCGCAACCCCTGTGTGCCCTGCCCTGGCCCCAGGCAGCTGAGGTCGCTGTGGGTCAGGGCCACCCACCCCACACATGCACGCTGGGCGCTGCCCATCTCTGTCCAGTGTTCAGGTCTCTGGAGCCCTCGGCCAGCCCTCCCCACCTGCCTCCTCGGCCTCCCCCTCCCCCTGCCTCCGTCCCCCCTGTCCCTCCTCAGTCCCCTGGCTCAGGGATGCTGTCCCTTTGCATACTCTCTGATGGCCCGCCCTGCTGTGGGGTGGACGGTGTCCAGGGCCTCCCCAGCCTCCTTGGCCCCCAGGGTACAAACTGGCCACGGGCAGGTGGCCTGCACGGGCAGGTGGCCTGCCCGCCCAGGTGATGCTTCTCGGCCTGAGGCTACCACAGTCCCTCAGGCCCACCCGAGGCTGCCTTTCTCTCAGGTTCAAGTCCTGGACTTCACCGGCCACTTGATGCATTGAGTTGTCACCAGGCCATGGGGACCCGCCACCCACTGAACAAAACCAAGCCTGAGGCAGAAGGAGCCGGTCTGGGGACTGGCTGCTCTGTCACGCCCTGTGGAAGTGGGGGGCCTGCCACCAGGCCCTGTGGCCCCAGATGGACGAGGATTTCAGGAGCAGCGTGAAAACCATGCCCCAGCTTCAGACAAGGACCTCCAGGCAGTGGCGGGGATGGCTGGGAGGGAGGTGGTAGCACTCCCTCTCGACACACAGTATGTGGGGGCCCAGGAGGCCAGCGACACACAGCAGACAGCCGGGGCAGTTTCCACACTGAGCCCCAGGGCCGCCGCTCAAGACCCTGCAGGTCCTGAAAGCAGTGGCCTGCACCCCAGTCTGCTCCAGCTCAGTGTGGGGCTTCCTGGTGAGATCGAAGCCTGCTAGAGACTACAGAGGAGGACACCGGGAAACGGGGGGCCATGGTGTGCTCCTCTGCGTCACTGTGGCACCCAGGGTGGGGTCAGCCAGCTGGGCCCTGGGGGGTCTTTGAGCAGCCTTCCAGGCCACAGCCACGGCTGCGTACCTCCCCTAACCCACAGAAAAAGGGGGGTCAGTGGTGGGATCTGGGGCAGCTCCCAGGGGCCGGAGGAATGACCCACACCATCTGTGACCCTGCCCTAGGGCACCGCCCACAGGGAGCCTGCCCAGACCCACAGCTCAAGGCCAGGTCCACCGTGTGGGGCTTGCATGTTGAAGCTACAGGAGGCCAGGCTTCCTGTTTCTGGAAGGTGGGCAGAGAGGCCACATCCTGTCTCTCTGGGGGTGGGAGGGTGGGGGACAGGAGCGCTTTTTCTTCTGTGAAAACTCTCAGCTTTAGGACATTGTTCTCTCAATACCCCAAACTGCCATCGCCCCTGGCCTGGGGCCTCCACCACGTGCCCCTGCTGCCTGGGACCCTCTCCAAGCCTCCAGGATTCCCCGTCCTGTAAGAGCCCACCCTGTCATGGGGGGATGGCACTTCCCTGCTCTCCTAAAGGCTCTGGCACCCAACAGCCACCAGCAACTGCCTTGAGCTTGGAGTCCAGCTGCCCCCTGCAGTCCAAGCCAGGAGAGGGAGGCCCAGAGGATACCGTGTCGGCTGGGGCTACCTTGGTCCCCACCCAGCAGGTGAGCTGGGAAGGTTGGCCTCCTTTGGAGGGACCCCAAGCCCAGGGAGGCGATATCACCAGGTGAGGCGAAGCTGCTAAGAAAGAAGTGACCCTCAGCTCTGACTGGTATGGGGCGAGTCATGTGGTCTGGAAGGAGGTGCTCCCTGGGGTGGGGCAGAGAGCCAAACCGTGGGTGCAGGGCATCCAGGCCAACCCCACATTCCCTCCCAGGCACGATACATGGCGTGCAGGTCCAGGCTATACTCAGCACATCAAGAGAGACCACCTTGACCTTCTACCTGCCTTTCCCACCACCTCATGCCTGCCCAAGTGGGTCCCTCTCTACCTGGGCCTTGAGGCCCAATGCTCAGGCCTCCCATGGCCTTGACTGCCTGCAGGTGACACCTCACAGAAATGTCCCAGCCCCTGGCCTCACGGGGCACAATGGCCAAACCAGGTCCTGAGCGGGGCCCCCCAGCGCCTTGTGGGCCGTGTGGAGGCCAAACACATCAGGCCGCACAGCGACCACCTGCCTTCCTGCCGAGTGACGGCGAGCGCAGGGCCAGCTGCGGAGGCTCTGGGGGGCCTGCCTGCCCTCTAGCGGCAGGACCAGGGCGGAGGCAAGGGTCTGGCCCTGCTGGGGTTCCTGGCTCAACACCAGGCCTGGGAGAGAGCACCACGTTCATGGAGTCTAGACCCTCAGTGAGGGATGAAGAAACTGAGGCTTAGAGGTGGTAGGGGCTTTTGACAAGCGATGGAGCACCCCCAGCCCCGAGACTTCCCAGGGGTCTGCGTGCAGGTCCCAGACCAGTGACAGGCTCTCACCAGGCTGTCACCTTTCCCAGAGATATAAGCATCACCAAAACATTTTCTGGTGTATTGGGGGATCGAGCATTGGGAACTTTAAAGACCAACCTGGGAGGCTGGGATTGTGAGGACAGCAAGGCTTACACCAGAGCCAGTGATGCTGAACTGGGGGGGGACAGAGGGAAGGGGTCCCCTGAGGAGGAGGAGGCAGTCGGGCCCAGTAAGGTCACAGCACGTGGCTGTATTGGTCTGTGAGGCCAGGCACCGCTGACACGCCCAAGGGGCTCCAAGGGTAGCTCCCTCTCAGCTGCACAGCCTGCTCACAGCTCTCCTGGGGGTGGACACTGCCATGGACAAAGGCCTGGGGACAGCTGGGGGTCACACTAGGCTGACTCAACCAAAGCCACCCTGTCTGGGCCGTGAAGGGGCCGCTGGGGATGAGGCGCCCTGCGGGGGTGCGGAGGCGTGGGACGCAGCGAGGAGCATAGTGCTCAAGAAGGGCGGCCGGCTGCTGTTTGCTGCGCCCCGGGGCTCTGGGTCTGGAGCCATCGTCCCCGAGCAGAGGGCCGGCGTTCATGGCAACCCGCTGGTCGAAAGAAACCTCCTGGGACGATCCGCAGCCCCCAGCGGACACGCGGGCACAGGAGCGCCCTGGCCGACAGGAGGCCCACACCCCGGCACACCGAGGGCCCTGCTCCCCACAACACGCGCGGCCTGCCCGTCCCATTTACTTTCTATGTTTTAATTCTGATTACAGGGCCGTCCGGGCGCCCCCAGAGCGTGCGCCTCAGCGCTGTGTCTCCACGTTCGCGGCGCGATCACACGCCCAACGCCCGGGCGCCCTGGCGGCTGGTCCACGTTGACGGCAAAGCCGGGTGGCGCTCAGACGCGTTTTAAGGTGGTCGTAACACAACCCGGACAGGCGAAAGGCAGCGTTTTCAGTCTTCCCGTATTGTCTACAATAGATGACCAGTTTCCCTGGAGGGACGGGGCGGCGGCCAGCTTCGAGCCTCGGGGCGGAACCAGACTGACAGAGCCCTGGAGGTTGCGAAGCCCCAGGTCCCTGCCAGGGATCCTAGAGCGGGGCCCCGCTACTGAGTCCTCCCGGCTGCCGTAGCCGCGAACGCCCCCCCCGAGGCCCGGCACTGTCCCCAGCACATGACCTGGCTTAGCCAATCACAGTACAACAAGCCGCGGCCTCGGCGATTGGGCCAGAGGTGGGCACATGATCCTAACTAGCCAGTCGGAGCCCAGGGCTGTCCATTCGCTGTGGAGCCGGCTTCGGGCTCCTCGGTGTGGCTGCGGGGAGTCTAGGGTGGGGATGGCGTCGCCCCGCGCAGAGGGTTCCCCGCGGGCATACCGCGTACACCTGACAGCTGCGGAAATGGCGAGAGAGGGGACACCCGACAGCCGCTGAGGTGGGGGCGCGCCCCGAGAACCCTCTCTTCGTGGCCCCCGCGGTCCGCGCGGCCTCCAGCCAGCCCGCCTCTGCGCCTCCCAGAAGACCGCCTCGGAATGAGTCTCCCGAATGAGCACGCGGGTGGGAAGTTGTCGTGCGTCCCAGAGGGAGGCCGGGGTCTCGGTGGTGTCAGCCCCGGCATCCCCAGCGCCGGCGGTGTGGGTGCGGGTGGGTCTCCAGTCACCCAGAGCTTGGCCGTGTGGCCCCAAGACTCAGGGGACCCCGCCTGGCCCGGAGACAGGAGGTGCAGGCGCCTGGACCCGCCCAGGGCCCTCTGGGTCCTGGGCCCCGAGCGAGGAGCACAGGGGTTGCCAGACCAAGTACGGGGTCTTTTCTGGGTAGGGTGTACTTACCACAACTCGCTTAGAGTATGCGGCTCAGTGTCCGTTAGCTCGTTCAGAGAGGGGCAGCCCCCCCACCATCTGGTTCTACCACATTTTCATTACGCCGGAAAGAGCCCTGAGCCCAGCCCCAGGCAACCCAATCCACTTTGGTCCCTGTGGATAGACCCTATGTCACATGCGGCCCGGTTCCATTAAACCATCATTCCTGACTCATTTGACATACAAGTTTAACTGGGTGTCTTGTATTTTTATTTGAGAAATTAGCCCCTCTAGGTGGGGCATCCAAGTACCTCCACCTGGGGAGGGGACACCCGGGCACTGACGCCCGAGGGACATGCTCTCAATCCCCACTCCACCTAGACTTCCAAGAAATTGGACATCCAGAGCAGGTGGACAGGGGAGCCGATCCCTGGCTTGGCACCGTGCCTTGGGAACAGCCCGCATGTGGCCTTCCGTGAGAGGTGCAGGGGCGCAGTGCAAAAGCCAGGAGAGGGGCAGTTAGGGAGGGCAATTCTAGGTCCAACAGGCCCCACAGATATTTCATGAGTATGTTTTTTCCTCTCTTTCCATACTTTTATAATTCTCCCTGTATATTTAAAACTAGTTCTATTTGTGAGCTTTTTAAATCACAACACATTTCAGTGGTTGCTTTTAGCCACTTCCCACGTATTTCACTGTAATGCAGGACCAGTCTCTCTGGGCAGCACCAGAACTTGTTTCCACCTAGAAAGCCGCTGCCATCACTCCCACCTTTTACAGAAGAGTAAACTGAGGCTGGCGGGCTTTGCCAAGCTCACTGAAAGCAAGGGAGGCTCTGGGACTGTGCTGGCCTTCCAGTTTCACAGCCGACTTCTCCTCCGGAGGGTCAAGTTCATTCCACACCTCAGGTCTCAGAATATGATCAGGGTTCACAAGGGCAAGGCCCTCTCTTGTTTCATCTATTTATGTTTTATTCATTTCCTGTCCCTTGACCCCATAGGCAACCCTTCAGATGTGGTTTATTTCACCTCCAGGTATGACAGACTTAAATACTCATTTAAATTATTACTAAACTAGGAAGAATGTGGAAGATCTTTAACTTGTTACAGCAACAATAAGGAGCTTACAGCAAAGATTTTTTTTCACTTTTTTAAAATTAAGGTATCATTGATACACAATCTATTGAAGATTTCACATGGGCAACATTGTCGTTACTACATTTACCCATAATATCAAGCGTCCCCCCACACCCCATTGCAGCCACTGTTCATGAGCGTAGTAAGGGGCTATAGAGTCACTATTTGTCTTCTCTGTGCTATACTGCCTTCCCTGTGCCCCGCCTCAACAATATGTGTGTTAATCATAATGCCCCTTAATCCCCCTCTCCCTCCCTCACTGTCCACTTCCCCTTGGTGACTGCTAGTCTGTTCTTGGAGTCTGAGTCGGCTGTTGTTTTGTTCCTTCAGTTTTGCTTTGTTATTATACTTCACAAATGAAGGAAATCATTTGGTACTTGTCTTTC